CAGTTAGCCGCCCACTGTGCAAACACTATGCTCCCAGGACTCTTTGCATCTAGTCATGGGAGAGTACTTTTCAAATTATTGGCAACAGAATTTGGCATGGCCCTGCTCTCAATCTCCAAATACACAGAACTTCTAGATGAAAATAGAACAATAAGAAAACTCTATGCTAGAGTTGGAAAGAAATAAGACAAAAGTCTCCAGGCACCAACAACACACACACACAAAAAAAATTAGAAGCGGAGGTGGAAAATGCACAGCTGAGATTATGGGTGCCCTGAGGTATATTAGACTTCAATTAAAGTTGGAGGGTCTTACAGGCAATGTTTGGGATGCAGATGTATTTGGCCTGAATGTATGTATGTACACATGCAACGACGACGCTGAGTGCAGGAAGATCACAGGCCAGTGTGTGGAAAGTCTTGTGGATCCAGTGGCAGTGGAAGCATCTTAGCACTGGCTTGAGTCTCCAGATGGCTCCTCCAGCTCCAAGGCTCTGGTTCCACCAGCGTAGTTACATGTGTCTTGTCATCAGGAATGTTGAAGCAGAGAATGAGTGTGTCCCGCCTCCAATGAGCTATTTATCGCCATTGCACCTCCAAATGAGGCCATCATGCTGCGACCTGATTGATAAGCTAAACTCCACCCCATCACTCTTAATAGCTTCAAATTGGCACCAGATTATGTAATGCCACAAATTGTAATCCACACTAAAGTCTTTGATTTCATCAGCTAGGGCTTCAAGTCATCATTGCTTTCAGAAAGCAAATTGTGTCATCTGGGTATCACAGGCTGTTAATAAGCCTTCCAACAATTCTGATGCAGCATTCTTCTTTATACAGTTCCTGCTTCTTGGTAATTTGCTCAGCATACAGTATGGTGAAAGGATACAACTCTGACATACACCTTTTCAGATTTTAAACCACAAAGCATCTCCCTTATGTTCAAAGGAGACTCTTCATCTATACACAGGTTCTGCATAAGCATACTGTATATACTCAAGTATAAGCCAACCCGAATATCCACCGAGGCACCTAATTTTACCACAAAAACTGCATTAAAAATGTGCTGAAAAACTCGACTTATACATGAGTATATACGGTCATTGCTCATGAATTTCCATTCTTCTCAATGTTATCCATAGTTTGTTATGATCTGCACAGTTGAATGGCTTTGCATACTCAATAAAACATAAGTAAATTTCTTTCTTATAATCTCTGCTTTCTTCTAAAATCTGTCTACATCAGCCATAATATCCCTTGGGCCACTTCCTCTTCCAAATCTGTTTTGACTTTCTAGCAGTTCCTTCTTAATATGCTGCTGCAATTGTTTTGAATTATCTGCAGCAAAATTTTACTTGCATGTGATATTAATGATAGTTTCCAATCATTTCCCCATTCTGTTGGGTCACTGTTTTTGCAATTGGCTAGGTAACCGTCCTTCACATCTCTTGGTACAAACAAGTGAGTTCTCCTTGTGAGTCATCAGTCTGTTGAAACATTTCAGCTGGTGTTCTATCAATTCCTGGACTCTTCTTTTCTGTTGATGCCATCAGCGTATCTTGGACTTTTTTCTTCAATATCAGGGGTTCTTGATCATACGCTACTTTTTGAAATTGGTGAAAGTTGACCAGTTCTCTTTGGTACAGTGACTTTGTGTATTTCATTTCTTTTTTTTTTTTAATGATGCTTCCTCTATCATTCAATATTTTGCCTGTGGAATCGTTCCATCTTGAAACTTAAGCCTTGAATATTTCTTCTATTCTTTCAACGTGAGATATCCTGAGAAGTATAGGCCTTTTTGGCTTTCTAATCCCAGGTCTTTGCACATTTTAGACTCTATTTTAAGGAAAATACCCCCTAATGGCAGAGCTCCCATGAAAAGAGAGCAAGAACAGTCTACTCACAGAGCCAGGAAGTAACAAAGATTCTTCTCATCTGCCTGGGGTTCTAAATACAGGGAATGGAAGCCTTCTGTTTGAAAACAAACACCTATGTGACAGGTTAAATGGAAGTCTGAGCTCCAGATGGATGTTCCTTCTACAGATGGTTTCTAGGGACATACTTTTACATTATCAACATAGTGTGAATCCACAAGCAAAAGAATAAAATTACCTAAAAATTGAAAAAATTTAAGCAGCCAAGGAAGCAAACTACAAAGTCATCCAACAGACTCATATGCGAGCATAGCATTTAGTAGAATGAGTGGATATGAAGACAACCAGAAGCACTGCTTTATCCTTAGATGTTGCATAATATTGGGGAGGAAATATACGAGAAAATCACCAACTTACTAGGAAAATCTAAAAAATTATTTTTAAAGATGTTTATGATTGTTGAAATGGCAAAAGAATAAATAAAACCAGCAGCAAAAAAAGTACTATGAAAACAGGACTGTTTGGTAAGGAGAGGGGACAATCTTTCTAAAAAGTAAATACAGTCATGAAGTTAAAAATGTAATGACCAGATTAAACCTAATTAACATGGGTCCACAGAAAATTTGTAAGTTTTGTTACTGTAGCACAGAGGTTAAAACATGTTGATAGAAAAAATGATGGTAGCATGAGTAAGGTGGGCATTGGCCTAAGAGGAAGTTCAGCGGTAAAGAATAAAGTCAATGATTAAGAATTTTCAAGAACCTAAAGATATGATTCCTCAAAATGAAGAAACACAGCAAGCAGCAAGTAAATTTTAAAATTCTGATCCTAGACACTTTGTGATGAGGCTGAAAAATGCCGAAGCCAATGAGAAGATCTCAAAATCAACCAGAGAGAAAAAAGATGAAAATAATGATGCGATACCAGGAATTCTAATGACAAAAATAATGGCTAGAAACAGTAATATTTAAAGTGCTTTCTGAAAACAGCTGTTAATATAGACTTCAAAGCCTAGATAAATTATTACTGTGTTAGTCTAGGTTGACTAGAGAAACAAATCCAGGGAGACACTCATCTGTGTATAAGAAAGAGCTTTATAAACAAGAGCAATTGAATATTGAGAAAACATCCCAACCCAGTCCAGATCGAGTCCATAAGTCCGACATTAGTCCATATGTCAGATAACAATCTATAAAGTCCTCTTCAGACTCACGCAACACATGCAATGACGCCACATGCAGGAAGGTCACAGGCCAGTGGGTGGGAAGTCTTGTGGATCCAGTGACAGTGTAAGCATCTCAGTGCTGGCAGGGGTCTCTTCCAGCTCAGGGAACTATGGTAGTTCCATGTGTCTTATCAGCTACAATGTCTCCCAGGGAGTGAGCAGAGACAGTGTTTGTCCCCTCTCCAAGGAAGAATACAGGAGTTCCCAGAATCCTCAGGAGAAGGCCATGCCCACACAGAGGCCTCATTGGCTATGACCTGATTGACAGAATACACTCCACCCCTTCACTCTTAATCCTCAAATTGACAGCAGATTATGTAACTACCACAATTACTCAGCAATAATCAATTAATGCCATTCTCAGGTAAAGATATAATCAGTTTTACACTTGCAGATACTTGGTGGGGGAAGAAAAAAACAAATGAGGCATTTATTTTGGTAAAAAGGACTTTTATCTCAGCCTCGGAAACCCAGAGGGGGCATTTCTACTTCACCCTGTGTGGTTCGTATGAGTTGAAATTGACTACATGGCTATGGGTTTGGTTTTGTGGCTTGGGATGGCTAAATTGGATTATTGTTATGGATGACAAGTAAAACTAAAATCTATAACTTGGGTTACTAATATAAAAGTCGATAACATGCTTGTTAATTATTTATGTACAAATAATGTATAAAAGGCATATGATATACAAAAACAGATGATGTACAAAAAGGAATGTGTTCCAGAAAGCATAAATCAATCGGTAATGAGACGAAGTCTCGTGGCCTGGGAGACAGAGGGCCTGGGTGTTTGCCTCCCTATGTGTGACTCTACAAAAATGTCAAAATCAAGAGGGTGGTGTTGATCATCTCGAATGCTCTTTGTACAGCTAATATGCTAGCATTTTTCCACTTGTTCCATTTTTCTTTATGGTTTACTAATGCTGCATATTTCCTGCAAGATTGTTTGATCACAATATAACATAACACTCTTGGAGAGAAGATGGGTTCTACTTTATTTTTATCCAGGAGAAGTGAGAAACAAAAAAAGAGGAAGATGCAAACAGGAAAATAATAACTATAAATCCTGTATACTTATAGTTTAAAAAATATTTTTCTAAATTACTTCACAGTGATCCTTTATCCTCACAGAAATAGAAGGACTCTCAGGATTGGCACCTCTGTCCCACAAGTAAAGATGAAGCATTATAAGAGTTGAAGTTGATGTCTCATGTGACTTTATTCCATTTAATTCAGTATCACCAATACCAGGTAAGGGTCTTGGCCTACTATCTCCCCTACAGGGATTTACTGAGAACAATTTGCACCAGAAGTCAGCTCAGCATAAATAGCGTCTAGAAAAGATGATGAATTATGATAGTTTGTGATCTGTGATTTAGGATTACCTATTGGAAATATTCTTTTTTAAAGATCATTTTATTGTGGGCTCTTACAGCTCTTATCATAATCCATACATCAATTGTATCAAGCACATTTGTACTTATGTTGCCATCATCATTTTCTAAACATTTACTTTCTATTTGAGCCCTTGGTATCAGCTCTTCTTTTTACCCTCCCTCCCTCCCCTGCCCCTTGACCCCTTGATAAATTATAAACTACTATTATTTTTGGAAATATTCTTGACAACCCATAGCATCTTTGATTACCAATACCTTGTTAACACCTTTTCATGACTGGCCTTAGTCTCCCTCCCCCCGGGACAGCCTGCATTCTCTGTGTTGTTTTAACCCTGCTCTTTCTCCTCCCACCTCCCAGGACTTTCTAAAAAGTCATGTCCACAAGCAACCCCCTGGTCACCGAATACGGAAAGCATTTGGAGAACATTGGTGCTGAGCACTGACAAATTGAAGCCAAACTGTTGACCACTATGCAGTTGAAACATCTGGCTATTAGCGTTACTGAAGCAACTTTATTTTTTTACTGAAGCAGCTTTTAGGGGCCTTTGATAGCTCAGGCTATCAAAGAATAGTTGCTGATCATAAACCATTGTGAACATTCTGTACTCACTTTCCGGCAGCCTGTTTCTACTTCCACTATTTCTGGAGCTTGGCTTTGCGATTTCATCTTGCAGATGTAGTCAAGCGGCTGCTCACAGGCCAAGTCTGCCCAGTACCCATCCTGCAGGGAGAAAGGGGGGGTGGGGGTAGGGGGAGATGTCAGGGGTTTAATTTGAATGCAATTTTCTTGTGTTTCAGATGAGGAAAACGAAGATTCCAGGGTATTAGAGACCATGACACCTGTAAAAGGAGAAGTGCATTTAGCTTCTGCCCATATGGAGCCAATTTGGCTACAACAATGGCAAGAGAGATGAGAGCCACGCCAGTAGGTCTTCATACCTCAGGTCATCCAGTGGCTATTTAGAAGAACCTAAAGGGACAAGGTGAGGCATTGGTGCTTCAGAGGTAAAATCCTTGACTTCCACGACCAAGCTCTGTTCCTGACCAGAACACCTCTGTTCCTGGCCAGCCACCACCTCTCAGAGGCGGCTTGCATGTGCCTCTGATGCTAAGCAGGCTTCAGTGGAGCTTCCTGACTAGGATGGACCAGGACGAAAGGGCTGCAAATCTACTGCCAAAAATTAACCCATGAAAACCTTACAGACGCCATACCTCAGTAGGATGAACACCTAGTCTGTCCTGAATGTTGTCCTTATAAAAGAAGAAGACAGGCCCGGAAACATCGGGGAAAGAGGCTATGTGACAAGACATCTACAAACCAAGGATGGTCAGGGACCGCCTGGGCCTGCCAGAAGCCCGGAGCTCCATGGAAGGCTTTTCTTCTAGAGCAGTCAGGAGCCTGGGCCTGCTGACATCATGAATAACGACACGCAGACTGCAGAACAGTAGAGAATAAATGCCTGCTCTTCCACACTTCCAGTTGGCAGTCATTTAGTACAGCAGTGGTAGCAAATGAATACAGTAATATTCAGAAACAGAAAATTTGAGCTTGTCAACCCCAGGCTCGTCCACATTTCTCAGACCTCAACACTTGTGCCCTCATCCACTTTTCTCCCTACCTTCTTCTTTCAGTCCTTACAAGCATGATGCTTGCTGGTAGCCTCGGCTTGGGACACTCTAATGCCAAAACTTTAGATAATTAAATCCTACCCTTTTCTTAAATTCTCAGCTGGTAATGACAACAACCCAGAACGGGGGAAAAAAAAAAGAAAATGAGCCAGTTCTGGTTGAATAAAACTTGGAGCCAGTGTAATAAGTTTCCACTACATAGCTAGGAACCCACTTCATCCCCATGCCCACCATGTGCGGTAGATATGACCCGTATCACCATTTTAGAATTGAGGAAATTAGGAACAGAAAAATCCAACCTCTGCATCACCATGTTCGTCACCTACTAACAAAAGATAAGTGTATGAGAATTTCCGGTTGCTAAGGGCATATTGAAAACACAGAAGCAAGCCATGCTAGCCTAACACCGCCATTCAATCAGAAAAATTAAATCTAGTTCTCCACGTGCAGATTCCAGAAAGCAGAACCCAGACTCGACTGGACTAGTTCTGCTTCTATCAGAGCACCCAGTTGAAAGGAGGAGCAGAGCTCTGATTGGGCCAATCGAGATTGCACATGTATTTTTATCTTTTCCTTGAATCCACATTTTCTGTCTGTTGCCTTTATGCACCTCTGAAAGATTTACTTTGCAAGACAACTGATGGAGATTGAATTTGACCTGTAGTTCCATATTGATCCATGTCCATTTTATGAATAGAATAGAATAAACCATCTAAATAACCACATAAATGAGGCAGAAGGAAACCAAAAAGAGTCCCTCGTCGCACTTTGAGTGCTAGGAACTTGGCTTTGCTGAATATCTGTAATGAAAGGTGTCTTACCTTGCCTTTCATCACCACACAATCTTCCTGCCGGTAGTTTTCGTGCGTTGGTTCACCACGCAGCCATTTGGTAAACGTTACAGGTGTCCTGTCACTCCATTCAAAGTACATTTGAATGTTAATATCATTCAAACCAATCCACAACTCATCAGTTGACTCTAAGCAGGAAGAAAAAAACCAAAGTCATTCACACAAACTGTTCTCCAGAGGTCAGAAGGCTATCAGGAAAGGAAGCCTGCTACTCTCTCAACATTGACTCTCTTCCCTCCGTTAGTATAACTGTTGGGCAGACTGCCCTCTGGGGTGCTCATCTGACCTATGTGCTGCGTTCTGAAATGGAGATCAGTGAGTCATGACCTCCAACAGATGAAGCTACATATTTTTGTTACAAATCATTTACCTCGTTGGTCTAGAAAATACTTTGTCAACCGCACTCACCATTGAAAATATGGTAGCCTATTAGTGTATAAATGGATCTGACTGGTTTTAACTCTTAGGAATGTCTTAGAATAATAAAAATCACACACCTCTTTTGTTCCACTGGCTAGGAGTGCCTGTTGGAGTTGCCATAAGCCACAGCTAACTCAATGGCAGCTAAGGATAGCAACACAGTTGTTACCAAGAACATTCTAGATGCTTTTGTTAAAGCTCAATCCCTGTGACCGAAGTAAAAATGATCAGGGCACCACGGAGAGATATGAACTGAGAAGCGAGGCTGTCTCCTGATATTGTGTGCCAATCCATAAATGGGTAGCACTGACCGGTAAGCAATGAACTACTAAGCGTAAAATTGGTGGTTCGAAACCACCAGTCACTATACCAGAGAAAGACAGGCTTTCTGCTCTGATAACAGTTTGCAGTCATGGAAACCCACAGCGGCTGTACTGCTCTGTCCTCTACAGTTGCTATGAACTGGAATTGACTTGATGACGCTGAATGTTTATAAATGAATCCAGTCATCTTGATCATGAAATGCCTTGACATAACATCAAAATCCCAGTCACAAATGAAAGTCAAAACGAACCAGATAGGGATATGAAATGCAAATCATTTTGTTTTGAAATTCTCTGCAGAGCATCACTGATATTTTAAATAGCTACCGTGTGAAGAATTCTACCTGGAACCATTAAAATGGAACACATTTGAAGGAATTAAAGGTGATTAAAGGTCATGGGATTTCACGGCTAAACACATGAATATTTACAAATATGAAGGCAAAAGAATACACGATTCTATTTCATTTGCACCACGGGGCACTCCGTCATGAATGCCTGTTTTCTGTTCTGTAAATGGTCAAATAAAAGTCCTTGCCAACCAATAAATAGCCCACTAGAGCCAAGGCCTCCTCCACCCTAAGTGCAAAAGGGCGGTGCTAGGCTACCACTGTCAGTGTTCTAAGCAGGGACTTCACTGAAGATCCCAGATCAAGTGGGAGCCCAGTGGAGAGCAAAACTCAAATTCCCAACGTAAGTCAGATTTGCTAAACCAGTGGAGACCAGAGGAGCTCTCAAGACTAGGGCTCTACTATACAGTTGGCACTGAGCCATGCCTGGTGTCCCCTTTCATCCAAATAATCAATTGGCTCTTAAAATAAACAGAATCATCCATGTCCTGTGCTCCATTAAATAATTAACTGTCTGGACCAAGTCATCAATATTTATCTAAAGCAGCCTGGGAGTTGAACGACCCTTTCACAGGGGTCACCTAAGACCATTAGAAAACACATATTCCAGATGGTCTTACGTAGGAACCGAGACAGCGCTCCTCTATCCGTCTCCAGGTGGGTCCACCCCCATGCAGATATGATGATCCATCTGGTAAGAAAGAAACTCTCTCAACCTTCACACCGACATTGGCTTTTTATGCAGTGTCACAAAATGTGGCAATGTAGTTTACTGTTGTTATGTTAAGACTGTTCACCATGCTACACCATGCTTCCAGACAAAGTTTCATTTGTTGTTAGAAATCAAGATTTCACAATATAGAATGACATATTGTATTTGTGATTCATCACTATGCTTTCATGATGTTCCATTTGTAACCATGAAAACACATCCTGCCTATCAGATATTTACATGCCGATTCATCACAGTAGCAGAATGACAGTGATGAAGTAGCAACGAGAATCATGTTATGGTTGGGGATGACCACCACATGAGGAACTGTATGAAAGGGTCGGGGCATTAGGGAGGTTGAGAACCACTGTCCTAAAGCAAAAAAGGGAAAGTTACACAGACGGAGAAGGCAGACCCAGGAAGCAAACAGTGGAAATCGTGAGCCTGCCCATGCATTGTGAAAAATGTACCCAATGTCACGAAACAATCTGTATAAAAAGTTGTTAAATGGGAACCAAATTTGCTATGCACACTTGCACGGAACACACAATAAAACTTTTTTTTTATAGCAAAGGAGAAAAAAAATCCTTGTCAAGGGAGAGTAACGATGTTGCACTTGAAAATGAGAAAAACACCATACTCTATAGGAATTTCCCCAAGCCATCAAGGCTCTTCCTCTTAAAAGTTGTCACTAAGCTTTGCTTTTGAGGAAGTCCCAGGTGGGCTGAGTGCCAGCCCCAGCAGATGTTTCCAACACCACGAAGCTTGAATGGCACTGCCGGCACAGGTCCCATCCCCCACCCCCACCCCCCACCCCTTTCCTTTCAGGAGCCTGGCAGGCTGTGGTCTCTTAAGCAACACATAAGTATCAAAATGCCCTCTTGTACGACTCCAGAACTAAGCTTTTAAATCCCTCAATTATCATTCGAGAAATTACAAGTATTCCTAAACCCAATCTGGATCCTATGAAATACGCATGCAAGGCGAGCATGAGATTTCTAGCCAGAGTTCCACACATCAGCCGTGATAGCTTTCCTAGCTGTGGTCCTGATTTCTGTGCAAACCCATAGCCAGGCTGTGCAGCTGGCTCTGACTCAGGGCGACCCCGCTGTGCTTGAAAACGACATAGCTATTCAGTAGCTGCTCTTTCAAGAAGTAGGTCATTGGGTCTTTTCCAGGTGCCCCTGAATAGATTCAAACCTCCAACCTCTAGGTTAGCCAAATTAATAAAGAAAACAAACCCTCAATGCCATCAAGTCGGGGCTGGCTCATAGTGACCCTGCAGAAAAGGGTCTGGGTTTCTGAGATTGTAACTTCGCGGGAAGAGAAAGCCTCATGTTTCTCCCACGGAGTAGCTGGTGGTTTCAAACTGCTGATCTTGAGCTTAGCCGCCCAACGCCTACCCACTGCGCCACCATTTGAGCACATTCATCAGTCGTCCCACCTAGTACTCCACTTGAGCCCTGGTGCCATAACGGGTGGTAAGTTGAGGTACAAACCCGTAAGTTTAGCAGTTCAAAATCACCAGCCACTCCTCAGGAGAAAGATGAGGCTTTCGACTTCTATAAAGAGTTATAGTCTTAGAAAGTCGCAGGGGCAGTTCTGTCCCATAGGGTTGTAGTGAGTTTGAGAGGGCACCACCTAGGTGGAAAGGTCTTGTGTATCCTATTTAAGTGGATTTTATTGTCAATATGAGTAAAAGTTGGTTTTCTAGGCTTACTTCATAAGCAATATTTAACATGTTCACAAATTTCTTTTACCTTCATAAACATTACTTTAAGGGAACAACTCCCTC